GTGCATTAGGACCTCTAATCCGAGCTCCTGATGCTTCTGGCTCGTCACCAATGACGTGTGTGGCCTGGCTTTGTCCTGATGGAACACAATTTGGCTTCTGTTGATCAAAGATGGCCTCTTAAAGATGAGTGCTGCTGGATGAGTGCTGCCTTCAAGCGGTCCATTTGTTGGCAGCAGAGGGCTGAATTGAGCGTTTGGTCATAGCGGATCAGCACATAGTAGATGATTACTTGCCAATCCCACTAAACATACAACAAAACCTTCCCGGCCGTTAATCCGGTCTATGCCACCGTCTGGGCCGCTTCACCGAGCACCGTTCCCAAACATCGAGCTCTTTTTTGAATCCAAGGTTATGCAAATGGTTCCAAACGGTTTTCTGGTTTATCTTTATTTCCTCAGCAATTGAATAAGAGCTCACGTGACGGTCTGTTTCCACTATTTCCATGATTTTACCGCAATTTTGGACTACAGGTCTCCCAACGCGTGGTTCGTCTTTGACATCGAAATTAGTGGACGTTCACGTTCGTTTACAGTATCGTGCCCAAAAACCAAATTAATTTTTTCAGCCGCTTTGGCTTCTTTTTCGCCTTGAACGAAGAAAAATTATTGGCTTTATTAATCAGTATCTTGCGTTCTGTAAGTGCGATTGGATTACGCTAAAGGCGTTAGAAATATAATATTTTGTACGAAAAAAGATAATGGGGGAGGTGGGGCCGGGGGTAGACTTTGCTCGGAAAATGGCTTGGCACCACTTGAAAAAGGATACACATAGAGGCAGAGGCTCGCTGTATCCTCATGGACCGAATGGTGGTTCATTACTCATGACAATGGTCCTGTTCAGGATAGTAAGCTAGGATTGACGGCAGAGAAGGTTTTTTTATGTGTATGGCTCTTGTCATACAAAATATGAGTTGAGGTCTTTAAATGAAAGGAGTATGAAAGCTTTTTTTTAATATTGAATAATTGAGTAATTTCCGTTTGGTTAAAATTGGAAATATTCTTTTATTTCAATTTTATTTTTATATATTTAAATTATTTTATGTATTTCTAACTAAATTTACATAATAATAAATTAATTAGTAGATAAATAATTAAATTTGCTGCTCTCAGCTCATTGAAAATGTGATTTTTATATCTCAAACCTTTCAAAAGTTAAAAAACTAAGACAAAATTAGTTTTGTTAATTCTTATATTCTTTAATCTATTAAAGTTTTAAAAATAATTTACATCTATTATATATACTATTTGTTTATTTTAAATAGTAAGCATTTTTCAAAATATATAAATATATTTTGTTTAGTTAATTTAAAAAAAAAATATTTATTAAAATAGGTATATATGTCGTTTTAACTTTAGCTAGTTTGTATGTTTAACTACGTTACATATTTTGTACTTAGAGCTTTTTTTAAATAAATTTTAGATAATATATTTATTCATTATATATTAGGCCAATCATTGCAACGTCGTGCGTCGTGTCAGACCGAGCCAGTGTATGCAATGAAAGCAAATTCAAGAAAATTTAAAAAATTAGTTCTGGCTTAAATAAATTATTTTTTTTTTTAAATATTTGGTAGTTGTACCTGTAACATTTTGTGCGAGTTGGTGGATGTGATGGCTGGCTCCACATAGCGGATATCGTGAATGTGTTGAAAAAATAAGTTTTCGGGATTATATTTTATTAAATAATTTATATATTATTTATAATATTTTATTTTCAATTAAAATATATATCTCATTTAAATAAGAATTATTTGTATCTAAACTCAATTTTATGAAATTTTTTTAGTCAATACAACTTTTTGATCCATTTTTTTTTAAATTTCAGAAATTTCTTACCTTTTTGTTATTAATTACTCGCCACTTAAAATAGATATTTTACTTTGAATTGATTATTTTGCTTAGTTCATTTCGTTTTATTAAATTTTTTAAATTAGTAACGTTTTTTATTCAATTTTTTGTATATTATATTTGTTTATTTCATACTTTTTATTGATTTATTATACTAAATTTATTTTAAATTATTTGAAAACAATTTTATTAATTAATTAACTTATGTTTTTATATTTTTTTATAAATAACCATATTAGTTTTAGTTTTTTTATATAATTTTATATAATTTTTATTTAATCTAAGCTTGTAATATTTTACAATTTTCACTTTTAAAAAATTTTAAAAACTAAATTTTTAATTTTATTATTAAATTAATTTTTGTTTGAAATTTTGTTATTAACTTACTACTTTCTTTAAATTAACTGCAGTATAGTAAGTTTATTTTTGCTAATTAATTTCGTTTGTATATTTTAAATTTTGTACTTAACTAACTGCTTTTCGTAATCAATAAATTTGTAAAGTTTTTTATTTTTGCTTGTTATAATATATATTTTTATTTTTTATTAATTTAATTAATTAATTTTATTTTAACTTTTTTTCAAATAAATTTTATTAATTAATTTATTTATATTTTGGCATATAACATAAATTATTACATTAAATTTAGTTTTAATGATCCAATTTTATTTTATTTTTACTTAGTCTAAACTTGTATTATTTTACAATTTCAACTAATATATAATTTTTAATTTTCTTAGATATTGTTTTTATTAAACTTACTTTTGTAAAATTAATTTTTACATAAACTATTTTTAATTACTTATAATTTTTATTTTAATTAATCACAAATTTTCCTATTGGGTTGTAAACTGTAAACGAAAATTTTAAGCTGATTTAGGGTGTATTTTATTAAATAGCTTAAGCAGTGATTTCTATAAATAAAGTTCTTTTTAAACTTAAATTAATTTAAGTAATTTTTATTTGAAACTGTAAAAGATAAAAAAATGAAAAGTATTGAAGTCTCCACACGCTTGTCAGTTGCAATATTTTCGTTAACTTATTTACACACTGTATCCTATACTGTAACTGATGTCGTTGTTGTTGCGACTACTAAATCGAAAGATTATCTTGTGAAAGAGTACAAACATTGAAAACTCAATTGAATTCTTGGCAAAATGCAATCAAAAGCATTTTTTTGTCTGCTAAAATCAGATCATTTTATGAATGCGTTCGTGTGTGTGTGTGTGTGTGTGTCGAGTTCATATATAGAGATCTACTTACATATGTAGAAAACTTGCAACGATTGATTATATATGTTGTTGTGTGTCTTGTCTTGTATGCAGTAAAATTCTCAAAATTTTCGTTCTAACTTTGTATGACTCTGAGGCTCGCTTATGATTTCTGCTTGCTGATAATCGCCTGCATAACTGAGAATGGAGAGATTTTCCTCACTGATTATGACTTGCCGCTTAAAGTGTTGAGATTGTTGTTGCTGTTGTTGTGATTTGAATTTTTTTTTCGATGTGATCATTGGCTTGACTGCTTGGTCGTTTGGTAATTGCGATATTATCGTTGCATTTTCACATTTCTTCCTTTGCCAAAATTGAAAATTATATTTTTCTGTTAAATTTTGTATCTTCGTTTTCTCTACTTTTGATTGCTTGGAGTATTTTTCAAGTTTTTTGCTTTGAAAAATGGTTAAAAGCAATTTTCTTTCAGCAAGAATTTATTATGCTTAACGGTGCACAAATTTCGCGTTTTTATATTAGTGTAACAAAAGCGAGGCAAATTAAGCCACAATTTTTCGCGCTTTTTAATTTCCTTTAAATAAAAATTTTTGCTTTCAATTAAGTTGGAAAATTTCTGCACAGTTGCCTTGGCTTATTCTCATATTTTTAATTAGTTGCAGCTTTGTAGGTTTTGTGCAATAAATTTGCCTTCAACTGCATTGCTCCTCACTTGAGCTACACTGGAGTGTAGCAAGGCATAGCTCAGGCTTAGCATAGTTTCTTTGCAAAAGAATTCAACTAAAAGGAGATTGTGAAAAGCCGTGGAAATGCATACACACACGGAAATCATTAGGTGTGATTATGCCGCCTCGCCAGCTTTACAAATCCTCTTCCGCCCGCACTCTCCCACTCGACTACTGGGTCGCCTTTTGAGCACCTCAACCACACTTTTTTTGAATGCCTTAGACCCTTACTCAGCAGCATCGACAGCCGAAAGTAGCAATTACTGGCAGATTAGAGGCCACTTTAGAATCTTTCAGAGCCATGCAATTGGCATTCGAGGCACCAATAATTGCTACGTATATGTAGCAAAACACCCATATGCACATACGAATTTATAGAAATATATACCACTCATATTGCATATTTTTTACTTACATACATTTTCACCTTTTCATATATGCCACTTGCAACTATTGTATGTGTGGAAAAGGGAAAATGTATACCAAGTAATGATGAGGAAAAATAAGAAATTTCAGCGGTTGGCGTCAGGCAGCCGGCGGCTCTTTTTTTGTAAGCATATTGCACACACGCACATATGGTTCTCTTTCGAACATTGTTTTTAAGTTTCTTTCAAAGTTTTTGTTTTAATTTTTCTAAAAGGGTTGAATGAATGTTGCAACCTCATTAAAAAATGTTACTTATTCAGAGTTGTTTTGTAATCATTACACGCCTAACTAACATGCACATATGTATTTAAAAATATATGATGAAAATATAAGATATATATATTTTTGTGCATATAGACATGAAGATGTATGAGTTAGGGCAGAAAGGCAACTCTAACCACAAGAGTTGCTTATTGCAGAAGCAAAACAAAATAAAATAAAGTAAAATNAAATAAAATAAAATAAAATAAAATAAAATAAAATAAAATAAAATAAAATAAAATAAAATAAAATAAAATAAAATAAAATAAAATAAAATAAAATAAAAAAATGAAAGAAAACAAAATTATATAAAATATAATGAAAAAAATAGAATTATGTAATATAAAATATAATTAAATTAAAACAATTTAAATAGCATTAAAAATTTTACAAAATTATTTACCTACCTTATATGAACTGTTTTAGGATCAAATGTGTGTAGCTAGACAGATGCATCATGCATTTTATGCTTTACTTATAACCTTTTTACCTTGCTTTGATTTAATTACAGTGTTGCAGCCAGATCCAATTCTGTTGCGTCGCGCCCGACATGTCATTACGGAAACGAAACGAACACAAGACGCAGCTGAGGCCTTAAATGCACATGACTTTATAAAGGTGAGTACATACATATGTACACACATATTCGTATTTAATTAATGCTTGCGTGTGAAGGAATATTTTTTTTTTGCTTTGTAAGGGATTGAAACGAGAAAGTTAAAATTTTCAAGTCATTTGCAAATTGTTGAAACCTTTCTAAATAACATTAAACCAAAGAATATTTGAAGTTTTCATGCAAAAATTTTTAAATCGAATTAAATGTTAAATTTTCTTCAAATATTTTTTCACTAAAATATGTTTATGATATTCAGAAAAGGCAGAACTGACAAATTTTTATTTTTTATAATTTCACATTAAAATATTTTTTTTTTTTATTTTTAAATTTATTTGTGTTATAACTATTTTCAATAATTGTCTAAATTTTTTTTTATTGATTTCCTTCGATTTTTCAGTACTACATTTTTGAAAATATATAAATACTCCGCTAAAGTAAATATAGGAGAAACTCACATCAATTCAGTTATGCTTACCACGGCGTATACGTAACCAGAATAAAAGTGCATAATAGAAGCAAATTGCCTTATAAAGAATCAATAAAGTACTTTAATATTCCTTGTAATTACCTCAAAGCCATACGCAACCAATTTAGTTGGTCTACAAAATAAATAAATTTTGAAAGTTTTTTTCTACGGTAAACACCTCCTCTGTAGAGCCTTCTGAACATCTTTATTGAGACATAAAAACAATAGAACTTACTAAACATAAAACCTGAAATTTCATTGTGCCTTCTTACTTAAAATAATTCTTCTTAATTGATATGTGATTAACCAAAAGCTTTTGAGTCTTCCCTTCACACGTTTCATATCCATGGTAAATTTTATTTTTCTGCAAAAACTCAATTTTTTTCTTGATAAAATTCAAAAATCTTACGTTAGTTAAAGGAAAACTCATTTCGAAATTTAAACTTATAATGCCTTGAATCATTTTCATTTTGACTAACATTCATTGTGTGGAATAACACGCATACTTATGTACATATGAATATACATACGTGCATGTTTGTAAGCAGGAGCTTATACCTTTGCTAGTGTTAGACGCTGATTGTAGTACAATAATTACAGCACATACAGTGTGAGAACCCAGTAAATGTAAATTACGTATTTACATGTGTTTGTATGTACATATGGGTAAAAGAACTGCAAGTGGAATTACAAAAGGGCAATGCTCATTAGCTTCGAATTACATACGTTTGACCCCACATGAACTGAATTTCTTGCTGAAAGCAAATCACCTTTTTTCGATTTGTGTGAACATTTCTGCTATACATATTTACACATAGAGGAAAAATGTGTGCAAGCATACGAGTATGTGTTGAAATTCCATTTGCCCTACCGTACTACTCATGCTTTTGTGAATCCGAATTCAGTGGTGATTGAGCTGGAGTTTGATAAGAGAAAAGAGGATATAGAAAAAAAGAAAGAAAAGGCTAATGGAAAGGTGTCAAAATAATAGTGAAAGAAATTAGAGAAGCTATGCCGCAGAGAAGAGTGCTTAATGATAAGAAAAAATCAGCTGTTTGAGGGCATAAATTAGCGCACTAAATTTTACCGTAGAGCCGTTGTTTTAATGTGTTAACCAATAATCACGTTCTGTGTGCTGGGGCTATGTGTTTTGTTGCTCTCTTTGTGATGGAAAATTTAATCTAATTAAGTGAGGAAGTAAGTCAATAAGGTTTTATTCAATAAATAAAGCGTTCCAAGGTGAGCTGCTTAGCTATCGTGTAATGCAAAGGAAAAAAATGGAGTTTCAAAGAAAACTTTTTTTTCGATTTGACGTATAGATATTGGTAATGTGAAATACAGAATATATTATTGATTTCTTATCAACGAAATCATTTCCACTAATACTGCGGTAACAGTAAATCATCTTTTATTACACGTTCCAAGGCTTCTGGCTACAAAAGTTTTTTCCTCAAATGATTTGAGAAATTCTTAAAAGAAAATTTGCTTTGTAATAATAATGTATTAATGTATTAATAAAACAATTAAAATATAATAATAAAATTTTTTCCCCAATCGGGTCAGAATTGGTTGCTCTTTATTTTCACGTTTTTTAAAATTAAAAATTTAAGTCGAATGTCTTTTTGTTTGTAACTTTTTATCTCGAAATCGTCAAAGCATTATTATTATTTTTTTTTAAATATGGCAGAGAAAATAATATGAACATCAAATTCGCGATGAATGCGTTCGAACAAAACACTTTTTTGCTGTTAAAAAATATTCTTTAAAAATAAATTTATTACTAGAAAAGCAATTTTTTTTATAGAAATGGTCAATAATTGGGTAATATTTATATGAGAAAAAAATAAAAACGTCGTGTTCTCTTCTTATCTCATTTCGGTCAGGTGTTCTTGGAGTTACTATGAGTTGTAGTTTTATACCACCTTGACACTGGTTGTACGAATACACGTTTACTCAACACGACACCGCAGGCCAACTAAAGAAGCTTGAGCGGTGGCAAATAAATCAATGGATAGGAGAATGATGCCGAGAGAAGAGAATTTCAAAGTCGCAGGGTTCCCATAATCGCCGTAATAAAATCAGTCTCTTTATTTAATTGTCACACCTCGTACATGTTGTTAAATGAAATCCAGCAAGTTAATAATTTTACACCAACTAGCTTACCATATTTTTTCGATATAAGCAACTGGTAGTACGAACTGTTACTTGCCAGTCTATATACCAGCTTCATACTAGTTTAATACCAGTTAATATATATGTACCAGTTAAAAATATGTTTCATATCAATTGAGAACTAGTCTAAAAGAATTAAACGGTGACTTCAGGTAGATGTGGGAAAATTTTTCTAAAACTGCTTTCACGGAATGTTGCCTAGCGCGCTTATATTTCACTTCTATTGAAACGGGGTACACTATTTCTTTCCAAGAAATGGATCAGATATCTATATCTAATATAATAAAATATGTATTTGAATCTTAATGATCTCTTATATATTTTTTTTGTTAGAACTGAATAGAGTTTACAAAATCGCAATAATTTTTTGTTGTTGTGGAAATGCTAATAATGTGTAGTTGGAGTCTAGCTACTTGTGAGTTCTGCTTTTACTTTCAAAACGGCAAACTGTTATAAAATTGTCTGCCAATTATTAGTTCTCATACTAGAGTTTTCGTAAACTAGTCCGAAAAGTACGAGTATGATTTTAATCTATTGCAAACTAGTATATTATTGTACCGTATTTTCCAACAAACTAGTATGACTTTGTCTTCAAAGTACCAGCATTTAACTAGAGTTTTTGCTTTTGAGTCTATCTTTTCACTGAAGAGTGCTGTCACTGACATTAGCAATTGATCTGTTACAATAATATAATAATGATTTTTATAATTGAAAGATAGATTGTTCTTTAATAATAAATCTACTCTAACGTCTACATTGATCATAATTTTTGTTTTATTCTGATAGTATGTATTTCTAGGCCACTAGACAGCTACTAGCAGTGATGCGTATATACTCACTGTAATGCACTTCAACGCGGCACCAGTTGTTACTGCACTTCCTTCAGTCTTCGACTACTTTAAATTCATTTTTTGCGCCAAATTCTGTGTTTCCACATTCCCACCGCTATGCGCTTTTATAATTTTCGTATTAAATACGGCGCTAATAGGCTTTATCAGCGGCAAACGAGTAGGAAGACGAGTGCACTCGGCAAGTGGCGCTGTTGATACCATCGTTTTTTTTTTTTGGCAGAAATTTCCTATGCAAATATGGGCAACTATTTGTAGTTTTTTGTAAGGAGCACATATTGCGGTACCGCTCTAGGTCGGCTGTTTCAGACAAAAGCCTCTCTATGAATAGGAATCTGTACGAGGGGAGGAGATGATGTGCTGTTATTTCTTTTCTCACATTTTGGTTATGTGTGTTAGTGTGTTTGTGTTATGTGTTCATGAATGTCTATTCAAGTTTCCAATCGGCACCTACAAAACACTATTCATGTACATATATGTATGTGTGTGTATTATATATGTATAAGTGAAAGGTGGTGGGATGTCATTGATATGCGAGTAAAGTAAAGGGTGTCTGAATTAGAGTAAGGAAATTAAGGCAATAAATTAAGGTTATGATATTTTAATTTTTAATTTGTTTATTTTTGAGTTTTTTTTACTTTTTTAGTTCAAAAAGTGTTAAGATGATCGAAATTAAAAAAAAAAAAATATAATAAAAATTTCGGAAAAAAAGTTTTTTAAAATATATATGTTCTAAAACAATGTCTTATTTCCTAGTTTTAAATTATATTTCGATTTTTTTAATAAAAAAAAGTTATTAACTGATAGAAAATGGTTTAAACTATTGAAATATTAAAAAAAAAAAATTTTCTTCCAGCGGTTTTTTTATTTTGAAATGTTTCTTTGTTGTTGTTTTGTTGGTAAATATTTTTTCACTTAAAGACTAGAGAGGCTACAATTAGAAGTTCGACGCTTAGTTTTCGGGAGGCTCATATGGGCCAGAATTCCTCTTGAATTCTGGCAATGGGGCACGGGTGAGGTGCCAAGAAATGTCTCGTATACGAACAAAAAACCATTAGCGACAGCTGTTGAGGAATACTACTGATGCTGCCCAAGGTTGCATGTATAAATGCTTAGAAAAATGTTTTTATTCGAAGTAAGGATTAACATTTTTTAAAGCAAAGTTTATGTTTTTTTGTTTAAAAAATTTGATGATTATTTAATTCTATTAAATATTAAAAGGGTGTAAAATCAATATTGTAAAGCTGAAATTTGGGCATTAATTTTTTTTTCGAAATTTAGTTTCATTTGAATCACCCTATACTATACTCAAAAGCAAATTTCACTTCTATTTTTCGCAATTTCATGGTTCAACGACTCTTCGATGAGATCTGCGCCGAAAGAGTGTGTGCCAGCATTACCATAATTTAAATTTTTTTATAAACGAACGTATATTTCTATGCAATTTTGAAACATAAATTAGCTTGTGGGGCTGGTTTAGGGTATTTCGTGCTATATTTTTCATTTAAAGCAGTAA